TTTGTGTTCCCATACCACATGTTTTCTGCGCTGCTATCTTCGTACCACCTTACCAATCTTTCGTCGTCACCACAATATATTTGCATACAATGTGTCATGTGGTGCAGCAAAGACAAATTATGCGAGGGTGTATGACTCAATGCACTAAATTTTCTGGGATTTAACAAGAACTCATTGAAATGGATATTTTATAATAGACAAGTCTCTCATTATCAAAGAGTTCATCATATCGCTTGCAAATACTCCCAATACATAAATTTAAATTTAGACCTATTAGATTTTATCAACATACTAACAATTATCCGAATTCATTTTGTGTTAAGCTTTTTAACCTGCAAGCGGGATATCATATGATATAATAGAAATTTGCTATGTGAACTTCGGCAATTATTTGCATATATTTTTCGTCGAATTAATCATGATCCATAGGACGACCTTATTTTATAAAAAATTTACTAAAACGTACAAATAAAAAAAAATTATATATATATATACATTGGCAGAGTTTCATATTTAATCTAACATTTCCTTCCGTTGACAGAGAATGTTACCATCATCCTTTTCTAATTTTTTTTCTCGAAAAATTGTTCTATTATCAATGTTATAGTCATCGTCTTCTAAAGAGGAAGTCACTATAAGGAAACATTAGTTGGGGTTTGAATAATATATACGGTTTACAGAATAAATTTATTTGTATTCAGTTTTAATTCTAACTCCATCATACAAACATAATGCATACAAGATTGACAAAATATTTAAAATTAATCTATTTAAATTTTTTAGTTTTAAACATTTCGATGATCTGCATCTTAAAATAATTCTTCAAGCTCTTTGATTAAATTCTCGTAATTCAAATTTTTTGCTTCTTGATGGATTTTTTGCCATAAATATGATTTGCCATTAGAAGACCAAAAGGCCAATACATATTGTGCTTTTGACCTGAAGCCATGAATCCCATCAACTCTCATTACTGGTCTGTGAAGCATTAAGTAAAGTGACCTTACAAAACATATCAAGTCAATACTTGGTAAATATTTAATTTGTTTCCCGTAGACTAATGATTCTAAGATATTATCGGGCATGCACCTTAGTGCTCCAGCAAATTCCCCAATTTCATTTTTTCTTACGCTATATCCCCAATCAATAATCACGATTTTTTCGTCATTATCACGAATCAAATTATCTGCCCGAAGATCCATATGTACGATGCCTCGTGAATGTACTGTTCTTAGAGTTTCAATGATATTTCTGATATCTTCCTTTTGTATATTTTTGACTTTCGTACCAAGGGGAACAGTGACAAGGGAGTTCTCATTACATAGGAGGAGTTTTGGAATATGAAGTAAATTATCAAGATTCTTCAGCACATTTTTTTCCCTTTCAAAACAAGACAAATAATCAACTTCTTTCGCCAATTTTACCACTACAGGATCCATGTCATTAAGTTTCCCTTCATATACAATACTAGTTCTGCCTGTATTGATGGATCGAACTAACTTTACAGTATCAAAGTTAAATTTCAATGATGGATCAACCCATCCAAGTTTTTCCTGATCGCATTCCATAATTGTCACTAGATATCTCCAACCATCTGGAGGATGATTCCTGGATTCATAATTTAAATTTGCGGGTAATACGTATTCATACGAAAATCGGAAAAAGTTAAAATTACAGTTACACCTGGTCACTTTATAAATGCAAATAAGTCTACAATCTGTTAATATCACGTATACATAGGTTCGCTGAGGTTGAAGTTGGAGGACCTTTTCACCAAATGACACTGCGTGTCCTACATCGTCATCACTAAATTGTTCATTAAATCGTTTCCTTATTTCTCCAACGGCTACAACATTTAATGCATCTAGAGGATACTCTTTTGTGATGAAAATGAAGTCTGGTTTTCGAGTATCCAGTAGTGGAATAGAATGTACTTTTTCAATCACAAGTTTTGAATCCTTAGATTGTAATGATTTGCATTCATTAATAAAATATTCTTGAAATGTTTTTAGGAGGTCAGGGCCAGGCGGATCTCTAAACTTTCCAGTTTCTCCTCTTTGGGTAGTCATGGTCAGTTTAAATGGGAAATCAATACAAGTACCATGTGATCTTACAAATTTACCCTTTCCGATTCCTGTATCAGTACCTAAATATAAATGTAAAATGGTGTTTTCAGGAAATGATAACGAGATTAGATTATAGATTGGATGAACAGGTACCTGGAGCACTAAACCATGCTATTTCACTATGACGTCGTATTCATGATACACTCCATCTAATTTATGATAAAGTTTTTCTATGGTATCATCAAAACGATCGAAATGTCTCATAAAATTATTTGATTCTGTGAACAAAACAAAGATATTAGAATATATAAATGATATTATTAAATCTGATTAAATCTATATCGAAAAAGTTACCTTTCTTTCGTTTACCTAAGTGAGAAAATATTCAACACATTATAAGTTAATAACAATTTAGTGATCAAATAAAACATTAGTAAATGAAAATTATTGCAGAGAAAACAATATAGGTTTAGAATATTTAAATATACTCGTGATATCTACCCTGCTTAATATCTCTAACCAATACCTCAATTTTTACTGCCGAACCTCTAAATAAACCATATTTCATAAGCTTTTTCTCATTCAACTCAAGGAAGTCACGACCAGCAACCTCTTTTTCTTCGATGACGTCAATGTCGTCGTCGTCAAGGTCCAATTCATCTCTTTTAGACTGCAAATACGTTAGGACATCAGTTTGTTTCCATTTATAAACTTCTTCAACTGACGGAAAAGTAAGCATCCTATTTATATTTAGTTTTTTGATCGGATAAAAAATAGTAAAACAATACAAATTTATAGTGATCAAGCAATGATCATCTCGATGAAATGTTAAAGGATCAAAAATTTCGAGACCATGACCCAAATGTCACGGTTGGCGTATACCGTCACATGCTCGCTCATAGAATTTATGTGACGCAGTAAAGTTCGTCCTAAAAGTTAATTTAGAAATCCTCAGCAAGAGCTACAACATAACATGAATATAACATGAATTCACGCAAAATAAATGTGGAATAACCCAGAAATACATGAATTTTTTTCTATCCTAAAACTAAGGAAACCCAATTATCTATAATATTTTATCTCTATTCCTATTATTTTTTATGGTTCCGATGTTTAATTATAAAAATAAATTATTTAATAATTTCAATTAGACAAACTGTGTTTATATATTTTAGGAAAGTGTAGTTTGAATATTTAGCGTAAACTTAAATTTATTAAGCCAATCATTAATCTTTATTTAAACAATCATTAATTAATCTTATTTTAACAATAATTAATCTTATTTTAAACATTTTCCAATCTGCACATGCAATATGTAAAAAAAGGAGATATACAATGAACTTTAAAAAGTATTTTGTCATATATAAACAGTTAACACAAAATAATCAACGATTAAAGACCAATTTATTATTTTCAAGGTACTTTTTTTCTAGCTCAAAAAATTATCTTGCAGTAACTGGCAAACCTAAAAAGCATAAACATCTGGTTAAAAATAAGTGGCTCGAAAAATACGAAAAAACTAACCGAAAAAAGAGTCGTCCACCCTTAGTTAACCCTTACGCTATTATCGCAGTATTTTCGGTATTATTTTCGGCTTATTATATTCTTATCCCAAAAGAGAAAGGTATTTTTATATATTCTACTCTATTTTTAAGATTGTAAATATAAAAAATTAAAAAAGGTCAAAATAAAAATTTGATACTTTTAGATAAACATAAGATGAACATTTCTCGAGCCAAAGTTTCCAAAGATGAAGTTACTGTTGTTTTTGTATTGGGTAATATTTTCTTTCAATTTTTTTTTTTTTTATCTTTTTTTTTTTTACATTAAGAAAATCAAAATCAAAAAAAAAAATCAAATTAAAAATTATCAAATTAAAATTTATAAATAAAATTATAAAATTGGGAAATAAAATGATAAAGAAATTTTGTTTATAAATTTTATAAATTAATAAGATTATTATTATTTTTTTTTCTAAAGGTGGACCGGGATGCGGTAAAGGAACTCAATGCGCAAAATTAGTTCAAGATTTCGGATTTGTCCATTTATCTGGTGAATTTTTTGCTCTTTGATTTCTTTCATGGGGGAATTATCGGTATTCAATAATAGAAGATCCTATTATTATATTATTATTATGATTGAAAATTTCCAAATCTATAGATTTATTGATGATATAATTTTCCTCAAAAAAAAAACAAAATAAAATAAAATAAAACAATATAATAATAATAATAATAAATAATAATAATAGCCGGCGATTTATTACGAGAGGAACAACAACGTAAAGGTTCCGAATTTGGAGAATTAATTCGAAATTACATTAAGGAAGGTAAAATTGTACCCATGGAAATAACTATTGCCTTACTAGAGAAGGCCATGATTGAGAATGATTCCAACCGATTTTTAATTGATGGATTTCCGAGAGCGTTGGATCAAGCTCAACAATTTGAAAAAGAAGTAATGTATTCTTAATTCCACTATTCTCACGTGATACACTCATGAATTTGTTTCACGTGGTTAACAACTCTCTATGATATAATTTATACAATTTCTATAATTTTTATAATTTCTATAATTTTTCCCATAAAAAGGTGGTGGAATCCACGACTATTCTCTTTTTCGATTGTCCAGAAGATGTGATGCTTCAAAGACTTTTAAAACGTGGTGAAACTAGTGGTCGTATTGATGATAACGTTGAATCTATTAAGAAAAGATTCGAAACCTTTAAAAGTACAAGTTATCCAGTTATTGAACATTATAGAAAGGTGAATAAAGTTCATACGGTGAGTTGAATTTTATTAATTACATATTAATTATAATTATAATTATTGTTGAATTGTTAAATTATTGATCATCATTTTTGAATTAAAATTATTCTTTCTTTTTAATTAATTAATTAATTTAGATTCCTTGTGCTGATGGTGTTGATGAAGTTTATTCAAAAGTTAAACCAATTGTTGAAGGATTGTTTAAACAATAAATAATTGAATTTAATTTAAGAGAATTTATCATTATTATTTAATAAAAATAATTAATTAATTATTATTTATTTATTTATTTATTTTATTATATTATTATATATATTGTATATTTATTATATAAATTATTTATTTATTTTGAAATTATTTGTTACATAATTCGCTGAATTGTTTGAATTGTTTGAATTGTAAAAAAAAATATTATTCTGACTAATAGAACCATTTTAATTTTAATCGATGATTGGTTTATTGTTGTATCACCTTCGACTATCACACCATCACTTAAAGTTAAAAAAGGGGAATTAAAAAAAGATGACGCAAGAAAAAAAAAAGACTAGTGTTGATATTTTTTTTTTTTTTTTTTTTTTTTTGAGAATGAAACAAAACTTACTATAATGGTAGCAGCTTGTAGAATGGTACCTTCAAACGCACATAATAAAGACTCTCTTATTTGTACCGAAAAAATTATAATGAACGAATCTGGACAACTTCATAATAATAATAATAAAAACGACGAAACTGAAGGAGAAACGAATATTCTCTCTATATCCATTTCACCCCCAACAATGACCAAAGACTTAGACTTTATAGAAGTTACTGAAAAAGGAGATAAAAAAGAGGAAGAGTTTCAATGTGTAAACAAAAACGAAAACGTGACCGCAGTAGCAACCCCAACACGAAGGTCTCAAAGGAATGCTTCAAAAATAAAAAATGCAACTACCAATAAAGATAATAATAATAATGTGGGAACTACTAATTCTCAAAATACAACATCAAAAACTTCTCAAGAACAATTACCTCAAATTCCCCCTACTCCAAATATTCGAAGAGGTCCAGGCAGGCCACGAAAATCCCTAGTTATAGAAGGATTAGAACAACAACCTTCTACTAACTTTTCTAACTTGAATCACAATAATGAAAATCGTGAAAGTGTTGAAGCTTCAACTTTATCTAACGGTTCAACGTTGAGAATTAAGTTTGCTAAAGTTGGTCAAGGTACAAATAACTTTTTTCTTTTATCACTACACCTTTAACAAATTGTTTCAAGAATACCTTTAACACAACTTTCTGTTGTAGTCGCGTCGTCGTCTTCTCCATTTAATGTAACAAATTTCACAAATACTCCCGATTCTTCCTTCTTGAATAATAATAATAGTAGGGGGTCGGGTTTACCTTTATCAAATACTTTCTCTACCCCTTCTCTTATTAGTGACACTGTAGTAAGTAGTTCTTCCCCTACTATTATTCCTCCCCCTGTAAAAAGAGGGCCAGGTCGACCTCGTAAAAATCCATTACCTCCTTCAACAATTCTTCCTTCCTCCTATTCTGTCAATAATAACAACGACACATCATCATCCCCTCGACAGAGGGAAAAGAAAAGGAAAGTTTCTAGAAATTTGAAAAACGATTCATATTCAAATGAATTGGGAAACAAAGGTAATAAAAAAGATCATCATAATCCCCGTAAAAAATCAAAAACTGGTTCAAACAATGAAGAATCATCAGAATCATCATTGCGAAAAACCAAATTATCTGGATCAATAGAATCGAAAAAAACACCTTTGGACGAACTTCGAGATATGAAAATAAAAGAGAAAGAAGCCGAACTCGCCAATGTCGTTGACGATCATGACTCCTTAATTCGTGAATTATATTATATGGAATCCTACAATTTACTACTTAATAATCTCGATCCGCAGACAATCAAACAGGATAATAGCGAGCGTATGGTTAAGGTACGATTTTCTCGTGCCATTCAAAAAAAAATAAAAATAAAATTAAACAAGGTTAACCAAATTAACCAATTCGATGGTTGTGTGTGGTGGTGGTGGTGGTGGTGGTGTTTGGTGGAGCTTGTAAAGGCAACAACCACACTTTAAAAAAATTTTTTAAAAAATTAAAAATTATATAATTTTTTTTTTTTACATTAATTTAAAATAATTAAAAAATTTTTTTACATTAAATTTTTGTTAAGCATGTATTATAATCATAATAAGATATATTAAATATCACATGCTTGGTTTACCATCTTTTATCATTACTGTACTGATGCCCAATCTATTTTATTTAAATAAATTCGTTCTCTCGTGGTACCATTATTGGATTCTGTTCGTATAATAATCTTAATAGTATTTGGCAAGTCACAACTTGTGGTCCACCTTGAACGAACAAGTTGTTAACAGTATCCAATTAAATTCCACACGGATGTCCACTCGCCATTCGCTTACCAAACATCGCGAATTAATTGTCAACATGTTACAAAAATCTGTCGGTTCACGAGGATTCAACTTGGTAGAAAATCAGTTTGATTTTTCTCCTTCAGAATTATCATCATTATCATCAGATAATAACGTCCGAAATTTTCGAAGAACCTCAAAATTGGATTCCAACCGAAATCGGGAATCCAATTATACTGGAGGAATCTTGTCTTCACCATCGTCGTTATCGTCGTTATCATCGTCATCCACATCTTCATATTCACTTCGTCGACGGAGTCATTCTCAATTCAATAGTTTGGAAAGTTATTTAAAATCTTTTGTTACCTTAGATGAAGAAGATATGACACCTGTCGAAGAAGAATTAAGAGTTGAAAAAGCGACCGAACTTCAATATCGAATTTGGGCATTGAAAAATGAAGGAAGGTTAAATGAAATTACCAAACCAGCTCCCGAACCATCTCGACCTAAAATTGAAAGGGATTATTTACTTGAATTAATGACCCAAAGAGCGAAATATATGAATAAATTTACGGAATCCAAATATCGAATTACTCGACAAATTCATAAAGCGGTTTTACAACATTTTTCGAAATTGGCGAATCAAGGTCCTCGAGAAAAAAAATTGGAAGAGAAACGAATTAAAAGATTAGCCAAAACCACCGCAAATCTTGTTAAACAAAAATGGAAATCAATTGAATCGGTTAGTAGAGTAAAAAAAAAATTATATTTTATTATATATATATAAATATATATTTTGGAATTATTATTATTATTATTATTTTAAATTGATTGATAAATTATCTAAATTCCAATAATACAACTCAATTAACAGAACCCCAATTTTTTTTTGATTCAAAAATACACGGTTCTTTTAGATAATTTTACAAAAACGGGATGAGTTACGTAAAGAAGAACAAACCCGGGAAGGTAAACGTCATTTAAACCTACTTCTAGAACATTCAACTCAAATGTTAGAAGTTCAACAAAATGAACTTCTGGGAGCTCATTTAACTCGAAATCAAAATAAAATTATGGACACTGACGTAAATATTGATAATGAATATAATAATGAGTTAGAAGATGAAGATGAAGATGAAGAAGATGAAGATGATGATGAAGGTGAAGATGATTCTTCATCTTCTAATGATCAAATGTCAATTGATAAATCCGAAACTAGTTCATTGATAAATGATGATGGGGATTATCATGAAAAAGAAGATGAAGATGAAGATGAAGAAGATAGTGACGATGATGATGATGAAACTCATGATTTACAAGTTGAAAAAGATCTTCCAATCGAAGATGTGATGAAAAATTATGCTGATTATCTCAAAAGTCATGGAAATAATAATAATAATAATAATAATGATGATGATGATGATGATGATGATCAACGTAGTGAATCTGAAATTAATCATAATGTAGATATAAATTCTTGGTTTTCTGATAAACAATCACGTGTATACAAAAAGAGAAGTGGTCGTATTAATGAAAATAATAAAAATGATGAAAATAAAGAAGATCAAACTAAAGAAGATGAAAATAAAGAAGTTGAAAATAAAGAAGATAAAATTAAATCTAATTTAAAAGAAAATGAAATAAAATTTAATTCAAAAGAAATTGAAATAGAATCTAATTCAAAAGGAAAGGAAAAGGAATCTAATTCAATAGAAATTGAAGAAGAATCAGAGATAATTCCTGCTATTTCTGAACCACCAACTGGAACTACTTTATCAACCGCTAATGTTCGAACTCAAATTCCACCATTACTTAGAGGTCAACTTCGTGAATATCAACATGTTGGTCTTGATTGGCTTGCTAGTTTATATAATAACGGGATTAATGGAATTCTTGCCGATGAAATGGGTCTTGGTAAAACTATTCAAACAATTGCTTTATTAGCACATATAGCTTATGAAAAAGGTGATTGGGGACCTCATTTAATAGTTGTACCTACTAGTGTAATAATTAATTGGGAAATGGAATTTAAAAAGTGGTGCCCAGGATTTATAATTTTAACTTATTATGGAAATCCGAAGGAACGAAAAGATAAACGAATAGGTTGGATGAAAGAACATACATTTCATGTTTGCATAACTTCTTATCATCTTGTCGTATTGGATCAAGTTGTATTCAAAAAAAAGAAATGGCATTATTTAATTCTTGATGAGGCTCATAATATTAAAAATTTTCAATCCCAAAGATGGAAAACTTTATTGAACTTTAATTCCGAAAGAAGGTTATTACTTACCGGTACACCATTACAAAATAATCTTATGGAATTATGGTCTTTATTATATTTTCTAATGCCAAATGGTGTCTCGGGTGATATGCCTCTTGGATTCGCTAATCAAAAAGAATTTCAAGAATGGTTTTCACGTCCTGTTAATAAAATGATAGAAAATAATGAACAATTTGATGAAGAGACATTATCTGCGGTTCAAAAACTACATACAGTTTTGAGACCATATCTTTTACGTCGTTTAAAAAGTGATGTGGAAAAACAACTTCCAGCCAAACATCATCACATTATTAAATGTCGACTTTCCAAACGACAAAGATTTTTATATGATGATTTCATGTCCCGTGCTAAAACCAAAGAAACTCTTCAATCCGGAAATTTCTTAAGTATCATCAATTGTCTCATGCAATTACGAAAAGTTTGTAATCATCCCGATTTATTCGAATTACGACCTATTCGAACTTCATTCGCTATGTCTAAATCCGTTTTAGCTTCTTATGAATCATCGAAACATAAAGTTTGTCGATTGATTTCAAAAGGAAATAATCCACTTAATCAAGTTAATTTGGAATTTTTAAATTTGATTCCCAATCAATTTGAAGAATCCTCCCTTGATTGGTTAACTTTTAATGAACGACAAGGATTAAATCCCGATTCTTATTCTTCTTCTTCTCCTCCTCGTCCTAAAAATTTTCAAGAAACTGTTAGTTGGTATGGAATGATTGAAAATAGTAATATAAATAATACGGTTATAAATTATAATAGTCTTTCAGAATTTGGACTGGTAATGAAATTACGTTCCCGATTAGCTACCAAACAACGATGGGAATATATGCGATACGTAAATTCATTCCGTCTTAAATGTCGTCCTATATATGGAAGGAGATTAATTAATTTATGTCGTCGAGCAGGAGCCACCATATGTGATTATGCATTATTTGATGCACGAAATCCCAGGAAATACCTTGATCGTACGGAAGCAATATCCGATATGATTGTATCTTATGACCGTAGATATTATATGATGGAAGAAATTATAAAACAATATGCTTTCGTGACACCCGCAGTTGTTGCGAGAGATATGACCCATCATACATTAGTTGAAATACCTGATGAATTACGTTTAATGGTTCATGAACAAATTCAAGATATTTATCATCCTATTCGTGTCAAATTACAAATTGCTTTCCCGGATAAAAGATTATTACAATATGATTGTGGGAAACTTCAAGAATTAGATATATTACTTCGAAGATTAAAAGATAATGGTCATCGAGCATTAATTTTTACACAAATGACTCGAGTCCTAGATATTTTAGAAATATTTTTAAATATTCATGGACATCGTTATCTTCGATTGGATGGTGCCACCAAAGTTGAGCAACGTCAAATGTTGACGGAACGATTTAATCATGATCCTAAAATTTTGGTATTCATACTTTCAACGAGATCGGGAGGTTTAGGTATTAACTTGACGGGAGCCGATTCGGTTATATTTTATGATTCTGATTGGAATCCATGTATGGATCGTCAGTGTCAAGACAGGTTATAATAATTTTTAACTTTTATTTTTATTTGATTTTATTTAATTTTATTTAATTTAATTTGATTTGATTTGATTTAATGATTTTATTTTATTTTGTTTTAATAAGTTTTAAATTTTATTTTATTTAATTTTAATTTCATTTTTTTTTTAATAATAATTTTATTTTATTTTTTTTTAATAACAATTTTATATTAATTACAATTTTATTTTTAATTTTTTTTTTTATAGATGTCATCGAATTGGTCAAACTCGTGAAGTAAATATTTATAGATTCGTCAGTGAATATACTATAGAAGAAAATATGTTACAAAAAGCCAATCAAAAACGGTTATTAGATAAAATGGTAATTACGGATGGTGAATTTACCACCGACTTTTTCCAAAGAATGGATTGGCGTGAAATTGTTAGTGATATTGCTCCTAATCGTGCTGAAGAAGTAATTGATGAACCTAATTCCGGAATAGAATTAGAACAATGTTTGGCTGAAGTTGAAGATGAAAATGATGTTAATGCTGCTAAAGTAGCAAAAATTGAAATGGATCTTGATTTAACTGATTTTGCTGATACATCAGAGACACCAGCCGAATCATCATCCGCTGCAAGACGAGCAAGTTCAATATCTGCTATACAATCTCCTCATGAATCTAATGAAATAACGGAAATAACGGAAGCTAATAATAATAATAATAATAATAATGAGACGACGATGACACAAGATCCTGAATCAGAACGTGTAATTGGGCATGTGGATTATTACATAGCTCGTTCTTTGGAACGTGAATTAGATATAAATGTTGGGTTTGGGGGAATACCTGAACAAGAAAATCTTTCAGAATAAATTAAAAAAAAAAAAAAAAAAAATACACAAAAAATGCACTTTCTGTAATATTTTTTTTTGAAAAATTGCTTTTATTCTCATTTTAACATAATTATTTTTTTTTTTTAAAAAAAAAAAAATTAAAAAATTGCATACAAAATTTTCAAAAAAAAAAATTTCAAAGGGGTCTTCTAATGTATATAATGATAATAGATATGCCATTTTTTTTTTTTTATAATAAATTTTTTTTTCTTTTGCTAATTTGTATTTGAAGTATTAGCCGCGCCGCATTTGATATGAATATGCAAATTTGATAAATTTGATGTAATTAATTAATGTCGTTTATCGAATAAATTGGAAAATGTGATGTACTTTTACGTCTAAGATATCACTTCGGTTAAAAATTACTTTATAACAATCGCCAAATACCGTCGTCAATTGTTAACGAAAAAAAAACATTAGTAATATTATTATGTATTGAATAAAGATTCGCAAAATGCGTGTTATTATTATTAGTGGTGGTATTGTTTTTTAACAAAACATAATAATTACTATGAAGATCACAAATTAAAAATAAAATCCAATTTTTTTTTTTTTTTTCTTTCTTTTTCTTATAATTTTAATGTTGGAAATAATAAAAAAAGAAAAAAGACATGTATTCATCGCATTTTAAGGCAAACTGTAACAAAGTAATCACGAAAGTTTTGGAAAAAAATGAAAAAAATGAAAAATGAAAAATGAAAAAATGAAAAAAAAAGACGAAGGGAAAATTAATAATGTATTTCCTTTGGATCATTTTACTTCATTTACTCCATTATAAGAAAGCATAATTTGATCCCCCCTTAAAATCTCTTTTTTTATTATTATTAATAATAGCAACTAAATGATTTAAAGGTCATCGTCTTCCTCTGAGTAAACGACAACATAAGAACAATAAATAGAATAATAATAATAATAATAATAATAATAGAATTAAAAATTGAATTAGTTAAATCAAAAAATAAATAAATAAATAATGAATAATATAATAATAAATTCGTAAAAAAAAAAAAAAACATACCAGGAAGAGGTTGATTTGCAGCAGTTTCTAACTCCTTGTTATATTGATCCATTAAAGCTGGATCCACTGCAACTTCTGGTGGTGCAAGTGCTGGAGAAGCGACAAACTCAAGGTTGGGATTTCTATATTATTATTATTATTATTATTATTAAATAAATAAATTATCCCAGATTTCAAAAATAATATCAATAATTTAAATAGTTTACCCTATGAGTTTACGAGCCAACCACAAGAACGGTTTTTCGAAGTTGTAATTACTTTTAGCAGAAATATCGTAATATTGGAGATTCTTCTTACGATGGAATGTAATCGTTTTTGCCTTTACTTTACGTTCCTAAATAAATAATAATAAAAAAAAGACCAAATATAATAATTTTCGAAATAAAAATTTTTTTAAAAATAATTTAATAAACATAAATCATTTAAAATGTTAATTGAATTTAAATCAGATCTAATTTTACGTTTTTTTTAATAAATATTATAAAAAAAAAGTATATATATATATATACACATTAAATGACTAACCTTTATATCAACTTTATTTCCACAAAGAACAATAGGAATATTCTCACACACACGAACCAAATCTCTGTGCCAATTTGGTACGTTCTTATATGTAATTCTGGATGTTACGTCAAACATGATGATGGCGCATTGACCTTGAATGTAATAACCGTCCCTAAGACCACCAAATTTTTCCTGTCCCGCAGTGTCCCATGTATTAAAACAAATAGGGCCAAAGTTTGTGTGAAAAGTTAAAGGGTGAACTTCAACTCCGAGAGTTGCTAAATAATAATAATAATAATAATAATAATTATGAAAAGTTTTAAAATTAAGTTCATTACTCTGTTGTACTACCAAAAAATAGAAATAATATTTTTTTTAAAAAAAAAAAGGAAAACCAAATACGTACCAACATACTTCTTTTCAAATTCACCAGTTAAGTGACGTTTGACGAACGTTGTCTTTCCGGTACCACCATCGCCAACTGTTTATCAGTAGAAGAGTTGATCGTTAATAAATTATTTGATCGAAGAAAAAACCACTTGATTTCTTATAAATAACTAACCAAGCACAAGCTTAAAAGTTGGTACTTCTTGTTGAGCCATTTCTTTTTTGATATCTTTATATGTTAAAAGCCGCAGTAAACCAATAATAAATAATGTATGGATTAAAAAAAAAAAAAAAAAAAAGGATCAATAAGCGATGTGAAAACTCAACGCGTTTTATTAAATAAAAAAAAACAAGAGAATTTATTAGTTATAAACCAATAGAAATATCTCAAAGGATGGATGGATAAAAACATACCTTTTGATATTAATATTTCTTTTTTAATATCCTAAAAAAAATTATTTAGTCAAGGAGAGGTTTCAATAATGGCTGAGGGGGTAATACTCTTATATTGTAAGTATAATATAGTAGTGATCAGTATCAGTACAAAAGTGAACAGTGACGTATTTGATTTCGCATCATTATTATGATTATTTGATTATTTGATTATTTGATTATCAATCATTTATCGATTTCATATTTTTCATATTTTTGAATGAATTTTTGAATTTCCATCAACTCGATATGAGATTATTCTTAAGATAGAGAGACATATTTTTCTAAACTTTTCTGAACTTTGAATAAGGAGGATAAAAATGTGAACAAAACTTTTAGATAGTTAAGCAAATGCCAGATTACGGAATTACGAAAAAAGATTCTGTTCATTTGAACTTGGGTAAAGTTCCTTTGGAGATTTATTATTACAGATTAGAAATGGTTGGTTATTAATTAATTCTAAATTTTTCATAAAAAAAGTTATAGAAATTTATAGCCATGCATAACTAAGGTAAAAAATAAAACGTAGAAGTCGAGATAAAATGTAGAACCAAGACAAAATAATTATTAGAATAATGGATATTAAAAATGGATAGACTTGGCAACATGTTGTAACAATGATTCCGGATAGGATGAATTTTATCCTTTTATCTCAATGGAAAGAGAATCTTTCAATAATGGATTTGATTATTTTATAGGATTGTCATTATTACAAGTGAGTTTGCACAACAAGAATTATTAATTATTTTACTAAAAAACAGTTACTTTTTTGTTATTTTAAGGGAAAAGTCTTTTTAATGTTTCAGGCCTTCCTTCTCTCTCCTGGTAATTGAGATCGGAATTATATTTATCTTGTATGTTGGTTATTACCAATTTATTATCGTTAATAAATTTTACATTTTTTTTTTAATTAAATGTAATATATGTACAATGTATTAACTTGTGTAAAGTTTTTTATAATATTTATTTATTTATTTAAATATTTGAACATTTGAAAATTTGAAATTATTTAAATATTCAAACTCATATATCATATTTCGGTGTCTTAACGATCGAGTTTGGGGGGGGGGTGTGGACTCTGATTGAGTTTTAAGGTATGTATATAGTTCGCAAAAGTAAACATTTTAATTGTAAAATATTATTATGTTTTGATTGGACTATTTAAAAAAAAATCAATAAAATATCACAGAATGGTTTTTTTGTTCACTCAATACGTACAGTACAAGTGTTTCATTTATTAATGACGTGTTTTATTTTTATAAAGAAATTTTATCTATCAAAAAGTTATTTTATTATTTTAAAATATTTCTTGTCACCCGTTCGCTACTATCAAAAGATAGTACGAAACTTTAAAAAAAAATTTTTGCTAAGTTGGCAAACTGTACATATACCACATGAGCGAGTGAGAGTGAAAATCTCATTAAAAACTGTTGCAATTTCCTTTTTCGAATTCCACCCATTGATAATATTGTTACTGATAAAAATTAACATCATTGACTAATTCATTATACAATGCGTATATAAACAATTAATTTATACTGCGTACAGGCATTGTAAACAAAATCAGAGTTATATAAAGACTTGAAATTTCCCTTTAACAATTTGACACGAAAATAAATTTAAACCATGAATAAACTATTTTTAATAGTTCTTTTTTCGTTTCGACTATTAATGTTTGTTCAGATCCACATCCATCCTTTACAACTATCACTATAACAGAATATACCTATGTACCCTGCGTAACCCCATCTCCTCCTCAACTATTTTGCCCTTCAGTAAAGAATCGCAAATATAAAACTGATACTTGTACACTTACGAAAACTGAATGCATTGAGCTGTCCCCGCCCCTCCCGACCGAGACCCCATAGATAAATAATAAAACGAAATAAAGAAAGAATATGGGGGTTTGTGTGTTTATCTACTTGCTATAAGAATTGTTTTATTAATTAATTAATTAATTATAATTCATTGGCTGAAATCTATATCTCATTATAAACTAAAAACAAGTTCCTGTTGAAACATTATTCATCGGGCGATAAAAACTCTTGTATATAGAATTTTATAACAGTATTTTCCAATTTTTTTTTTTCCCTATTTGACTTTATAAAAATTTATATTAGTGTGTCTTTTGCTATACTCTTTTTACTTCAACCTTGAGATGCAAGTTTATATAAAAACAGAACATGTCTAGAATCAAAATATTTAAGACATCGTAGATTTTCATCTCCATAATTGTTTATGTTTATTTGCGTCACGTTACACATATGTATGTTAAAGCCGATCAGGGTGCAAAAGTATCGTTTTTGATAGATCTCTTGTTGTGAAACATACATACATCACGTAAAAAATAAGAAATAACCTTAAGGAAATCTTAACCTGTGCATAGGTATAGATTCTTGTTCTAGGCCCGCAGGGATTAGGGTTAGGGTTTGTCAGGGGTAGTGTATTTATCACCGTGTCCTGGGGACTTGGGATTTTTTTTAACGCGGAAATCATATTTGTCACCCAACAATTGTTATTATGGACCAATGAAATTCGGAGATCAGAAGGTGCACGGGATAAGAGTTTTCTCGCCTCTAACCTAAGGGTACTTCAGTCAGCAGATCATTTTTTACACGTTTAATATAATATCGTGTTAATTTTTGTAATAGTTCTATTTATTGATCTAAACATTTGTTATATACATTATATACATAAAATAAATAAATCAAAATAGAATGAATCAAAATGCAAAAAAAAAAAGTTTCTGGAGTTCCATGATCCAAATCAATTATTTTTAGCATACCATCAGGTATCATTTATTTGGCAGTTATTATTGCCGTTACTTCTGCTTCTAGAGATTTCTGTCGGGAGTGAAGCACAGAAGGAGACAGGCGGACCTTGTATAAGCCTTTATTGGATTCATTTTCCTGTATATATTAGGGTTTTTTTTTTAATTGAAGATTCGATGAGTTGTTGTGTGACGCTTGTTTGTTAATTTCCTTTTTGAGTGTTCCATGTTTTTGTTTCTATTCTGATTGCATGCATTTGTTTTAATGGAACAGGTGGTCTCTTTATTGGGAAAAAGAGATTATTGTTTCTTATTCTAGTGTTGTGAAGAATATGCATTATGTATTCTTCTGCTGAAGGTGAAGGATACGGATCTATTCATGCCATGATTTCTGCATGGATGTAAATATAAATGGAATTACTGGTACTCGTAGAATTTGCTAGGTAAATAAATAATTTTATGAATAAAATAAAATAAAATTTTTTGATTATGAAATTTCGGAAATTGCAAATATTACACAGATATTTCGCATACATGTAATGAATATGATTACCATTTCTTTAACGTTAATAAAAAAAAAAAAAAAAAAGAAGCTTGGCGTGCAGTTTTTTATGCAAAATAGTAATAAAATGTTATTTTGATAAACCGCAGTGATTTTTTTACATATATATGTGCGAAAAAAAATTTTTTTTTTTTTTAATTAAATTATAAGAAAATTGCTAAAGATCACCAATGGTGATTATCCAAATTATAATGACATCTAAATTAAAAAATAACTATCTACATGATAAAAGGGAGAGTTTCCATTTTAACTAACTATTTTTTTTTAATATTTTAACCAACTTTTTTCTAAATTACAAATAAAAAAAAAATCCCACGAAAAAATATAATGCCATGCCACATTTAAATTAATAATTAAAATATATTTTTTTTTTCTAATTTTCGTTATAACATTTGAAAATTCATTTTAAAAATTTAACGAAATTGAATGGAAGAATTAGAAATGTTCTTTATAAAAATTAAAACTAATTCCAGCAGTATTAGCTTCTTTACATTCACGTCTTAATTTTTTAGCTAATACAGGTGGACCACAATAATAAATCCCAACTTTAGTTTCTAAATCTCTTTCTTTACCGGGTAAATATTTTCCATTTTCAATGGCTGCTTTTAGTCGATTAAATATTTCACCGAAATTAGGCCTACCATAATGAGTTCTTGATTCGAGATCAGTCAAAGGATCACAAGAACCACTAACATCATTTATTATAATATTTTGAATAGTGGATTCACGAAGTTTGGAAGTTAGATAAATATGAAATTTCAAAAATCCTTGTTGCATTTGAGTGGATTCTAATTCTTTCAATAATGATTGAAACCATTCGAATGAACTAATGTCTCGACAAATCCAAAATAATTCGACGCGTTTTAATTTGGAAGGTTTTCCATTTTTATGTTGATACCTAAATTATATTGTGAATTATTGGGATAATAAATAATAAATATAAATAATAAGTATAAATAATAAATATAATAAATTTATAAATATAATAAATAAAATATAATAAATATAAATAATAAATATATACCAAATGTTTTTCAAGATCGAAGCAAAAGGCGTAACACCAATTCCACAACCAACCAATATAGCAATTTCATTACTAAATACATCTTCTGCTGGTGCCCCATAAGATCCATCAACTCTTAAACTAGGTAAATTCATTGATAAAGGAATTCCTTTTTCACCATCACATCCTAATAATTCGGCTAATTTATTAGTAAAATCTCCAACTTGACGAACGTGTACTGAAACGAAAGGATCATCTGGGGCTGAAGTAATGGTAAAAGGGTGCCATTGCCAATAAGATATTGCGGGTATATTTAAGAATAAATATTGACCAGCTTTATAACTGAAAGAAGGTTTCTTAAATTGAATTTCAATTGCTCTTGATGGATGAGATATAACTTTTGTCATTCGAGTTTCTTGTCGAGCTCTAATTTCTCGTAAAATACGTTCCATGAAGTAAATACTTCCAGATACCACGGTAAATCTCCAAGAGCGATATCCTTTACATTTTCCTTCGGCAGATTTTACAAAACATCCATATCCATGAAAATAAAGACATAACATAAAGAACAAAGCCAAATGATGGGTATACCAAAAAGTTTCAAAAGATTGATTACGCATTTTAGTATGAGCTGAAGTATACATTAAAACCATTAATAATAACATAATATGACCAGTTACTCCACCCCAAGTTGTATAATGAATTGACCAAGCAGATTTTAATCCTAATTGCTCTAATTTCCAGAAATTAATATAATGAGCAAAGGTGTGTATTAAAGTAAAGAAGAGCATAGCATAAGCAGTTTGACGATGAAACCAAATATTTTCATCGAATGGAATAATCTTATTTAAAAATCTAAATGATCTAAAACGTTTTATTAAATTTCTACAAACAGGTAATAAAATTAAAGCACCATCATAAGCTAAACAAAGACCAGCTCCACGAGAAGTCCAGACAGAAAGTCCAATGGCATTTAAATTATCAAGTTCGCGATCATTTTTTTGTTTAAGGAAACCATAAATGAATAATCCTATATGAGTTCCAAACCAAAATATCCAAAAAGCTAAACGTTTCGGAACAAATTCTCTTGCTATAAAACTTTCTTGTGCCATTTTGTTGTAAATTTTGTATACGTTGACTGTACGTGTTTTTTTTTTTATTTTGGTGTATTTTTGTTGTATTACGAAAAAAGAAATTTTTTAATAAAATGAAATATTTAAGAAAAAAAAAATGAAATTTTTAATAAAATGAAAATATAAAAAATATATAAAAAATTTAAAAGAAATAAAAAAAATTAAAATGGAAAATAATTTTGGAAAAAAAAAGTGTACTATCAAAGTAACACTCTTATTCGTATTTACAATAATGACAAAAATTCGATCACTCTCTTCTCAACAACAGTAACTCATTTATATAAAGAAAAAAAATTTTTTTTCCTAACGAAATATATTCCCTTTATATATGCGTACAACATGTATACAAATTTATATTATAGATGTTTTTTAGTTGCTAAAATATATTTTTTTTTTATGGTTAAAATATAATATATTATATTATATTATATTATTAATCAGTCAATTATTTAAAAATTTCGGTCATGATCACCTTTTTAGTTCATTTTTCCTTAAAACGTTTGTTTTTTTTTGGGGAATTAAAAGAATTTCACGATAATAAGAATTTCACGATCTATTATATAAATCAATTATTCCTAATCAAAGTAAATATTTCAATATTTAAACATTTCAAGAGTAATAATTCAAAGCAGATTAGAAGATTGCATAAAACTAGTAAAATAAAGGAATAATTATATTATAATAATAATAAATCATATAATCATAAAAAATTACATAATAGATAATAAAATACATAACAAAAAATGGATAAACAGTTTTAGAGTTTAAAGTTTTAGAAATTTGGAGATATTATATTTATATATTACATTTATATGGTAATGTACTGGAATCGGAAAGAATTAGAATTGATAATTGTGATACTTTGAACCCATCCGAGATCAAGTAAAATTTACCCGAAAAAAAATAATAATCGTATGCAATGCGTGTAAACCTAAAAAAGAATGAGATTAATGCAAAAAAGATACAACTGACCTGTAAAAAAAGCAAACAAACATCATGTAAAGGGGTTCAAACAAATATGTGTATATATAATAAAAGTATATTAGGTAATAAAATTATTATTAAAAATCTGATACGACACTATAACATTTTGGTCACAGTGAAACAAGTGTGAAGAATAGAGAATAATGTGTAAATTGTTAACAGTGTAAGCAAAGGGTCAAAGGGTAAAGTGTGATTATAAAATATAATAATTAATCATCTAAATTTAATTACTTTTTTATTGCCTTTATTTTATCGTTAAATTCGTTAAAATCATTTGTCTGAACGACATTTCCGAAATTAATCTATTTAAAAAGTAATAATCTGGTTGGTTATCTGTTATAATTCTAGTTAAAAATAAAAGTTATTTGGTTAATCCAATTTTTATTTCCTTTTCTGGATATTAAATCTTCCAATCATGTCGATTCTGTCGATCTTTCAATTTTAATATCCGAAGAAAATTTAAGAAAAAAAAATATATTTATATATTTTTTGTAAAACGAGCGTGCATACTTAATTTCCTTCATATCTTCTATTCTTTCGTAATCATCATTACATTAATTACAAAATAATATTAGATTAGGGACACTTTTAATAGTATGTTTCATCATAGAATTACATGAATTACACAAATTACTCTCAAATTAACATGACAAGAGATGCATAAACGAAAATTTGTAAAAGATGTAACTTATTACGGATAATTGAAACTCATTAAACCCATTTATGTTTTTTCATATTCGCGTGAATGCACATGGTTAAAAATAAATATATGCGAATTTTGATTTGAGATGTAATTTCTAATAATAAAAAATATTTTGAAAATATCGAATTAATTAACTATCGAGCTTCTAATTCCCATTCAAGTCTTTTCTAATCTACGCTCATGACGATTTGGATGTGCAATTATTGAACATTTGGTCATTAACAATTTAAGAATTTTTTTTTTACTAAATTACGTAGTGCTACAAATTATACCAATGCACATCACATTATAGAACTTGAATAGAAATTTTATTAATTTTATTAATAAAATTATGCCTGTCATATAATCGTAATAAGAACTCTTTTGATATCTACAGGAGAAACCAACAAAGTTTTCCTATTTCATTATATTATTATTTTTTATATTATTTTTTTTAATAGGATGATATTTTATTATAAATAAATTCCTTTTAATAAAATGTTCCGAAAACTAATTCTGTGTCGTTCATTATATAAAATGAATTTGTCAATAAGAAAATCAATTTCTTTTTTAATACGGAACGCTTAACTGTTATCGTCACATTTATCCAACAGGTGTAAATTGAACACAGAACTTTATGATACGTACTACTTATAATTAATTAATCTTGACAAAAAAACTGAAATGGTGGATCTTCAGGTCCTTTACATTGTCCTGGCATAATAGTATTCACATCTAAGTGGAAATTTTATTTGGTAAAATAAGCAATGGACCATTTCATTTGATAAAAGTGACATGCAAAATTTGCCAAAGATTCTTGGGGGGACAGACTTTGAATTCAATATAGAAAATATTATGAATAATCTGGAATTTTTTACAATAGAAAATAACTTCATTTCGTAAAATTAATAGATTAATGTTATTGGAGATACCATTGACTAAAGATTTAAAATTAACAAAAGAATTATGGATGATATATTAGTCATAAATGTTTTTGTATTTGAGTTTGTAAATAATTTACTTCAAAATCAATTATCATCATCACCTTCAAAAATAAAATCACTTAATTCCAAAAATTGCTAATGATTTCTCAACATATACACAACACAAATAAAAGTGTTTAGCATAATTTTATATAATAAACGTTTTTAACTTTTATTTTATACACTGCCTCTCATGCTTTTTTGACATTCAATATAAAAAAATATAAACTTAGTTTCTTTTATTTCAGTGAATATTTGAATAACCGAGTTGTTAATATTCAATGAAATGTTATCATTAAATTTTTTTTAACATAATTGAATATTTATTAGAATCAATAAAAAAAACCAATAGATAATAAGAAGCACAATATTCAAATATTTACTAAAATAAAAAAAAAATTTAAATTATTAATATTTAATGAAATATGTATTATCATTAATATTTGAGAAGTCAGGAAATTTTTATTAAAAACACAATAAATAAGTAATGCTCAGATATTTTTTGGTTATTAATAAATATTTTAAGATAATGATTACGGTAATATAATAATAACCTATTTCTAATATTTAATAAAAATAAAATTAAAAGTTTTTTCCTTTTTTCAATTTAATTTTCATTTCATCACAATTCCTAACCAGTCAATATGTTCTTTCAATGGTCTCAACAGTTCAATGTCATATTTTCGCTACAACATTGCTAAAGTAGCTTTTAATTTAATTGTCAAATTTCTTCCTGGACCTACAGTAGATAAATGATAGTAAATTAGATAAATTTTATTTTATTTTTTTTTTTATGTTCTTTCGTAATTAAAAAATTACTTAAACTTTCTTAAACCTTCACCAAACATATAAATTTTATTTTTGCATCCAAATTATCCATAAATTTATTGGGATTAAATTTTGCAAGATCTTTCAAAAAGATTTGTGTTTTTGAATTCCATAAATATCATAAATATTTAATCCAAAATAAGTATCTATAACTTCTGGTATTGAATTTTTTTTAAAAATTAATAGGCGATAGAATGGATTCTTGATGCTGCAATTATAGATTATTTGATAGTAAAAGTTAATGAGATATTATTATCATAATGCCGTAATAATAATAGTAATAATAAAAATAATTTGACATTCTTTGATGACAGCTTCAACATATTCGAGTTTAATAATTCTTCTAATGTAAATGAAGAATTTGTTTCTTTGTCAAGAATGCTTCAATTTCATCTATCATTCGTTACTTTATTTCCCCCCAAAAAAATAACTAAAAAAGCACATGGAATTTGAACTCTATACAAAGAATAATATTATTTTTGTAAATAAATAAAAAAATATTATTACCCACGACAGGGAGGAGTTGTGACTAATAATAAAATTTACCATATCAATGTCGGCACCCAAAACTTCAATAAAATTTGTATTTACCGCACCAATTGGTATTTTAATAATATTATCTATATTATTCCTTAACTGACTAACTCTATACTTTATGTATCGAGTGTATTATTTAATTCCAGATAAATTTCACACAATTCTCGGAAGAACAAAGTAATATCGCATAAATAAATGCATCTACTGATTCTACAAATGTACTGCTTTCTTTAAGAACACTTTCTGGCACAGCTGATTTGCATTTTATTACTTTATTATAATATTTTGCTAATGCGCAGGTGTGCAGGCGTGATTACTGGTAGTACTATTAAAAATCATATCAAAAATTATTTTTTCATACAGCTATCACATATTGTGAACGTGGCATCATAACTTTTTGATGGCATAATTGTCCGGTGTTCAATAATCCAATTTCTTTAAGACCAGTTTTGAAATGTCTCATGATCTTTTGAATAAAATCATCATTTTTTAATAAAATAAAATATTGGGAACCCTTGTAGAATTTGCATAAATCACTATATTTGGCTTGGAATTTACTTAATATCAAAAGTGTGATTTTAAAAAACTTGGTGAGTATTACTAATAAATAGTTGCTACATCTCAAATATTTACACGTGAGATCTACTCACTGATATTGTAAATTTCATAAACTGGAAAATTATTTTTTCCATTGTCACAACTAATTTTAAAAACTTGATTCAAATTATCATTTTTGACAATTATGATCCTCTCTCGGAGTTATTTATAATATTCCATGTCCATGTCATATAGATTAACTCTACCAACGTTAACTTAACTGGGAGGAATTTTAAGGAAAAATTTCCCTTCCAAAAAAAGAATAAAATAAAGAAATTAAATGATTGATTTCAATAAAATAATTGTTTAAAAAAACTTAATATAAAAAAAATCAATTGAACATTTGCTTACTTCGTTAAAATGGGATA